AATAATATATTGCTTTGGAGTAAGATCAGAAAACCCAAAGGATGCTTGGTTTGTTTCGGTATGTTGGTACATGTGTTTGTATGGGGTGGGGAAAGGGTGTACAACAAACAACAAAGTCTGTATCCATCATTACTGTCATCTACTTTGTAGTGATACTTAGTCATTCTATGGGAGTTGGAAGTCAGACAGCTGTGAAGTGTTCTTCCTCAATTCATTTTATCCATCCATTCATGAATCCATCCATTTTTTTAACCTGATTCTTCTTTCTGGGTTGGGAGTAGCAGGTGCCGCTCTCCAGCAGTCAAGAGGCTGGTTACACCCTGAACAAGTCACAAATACGTCACAGGGCCACAAAGAGACAATCAAGAGAAACCACCATCCACACCCTCACCTATGCAAAATTTAGAATTACCAATTAACCTAACATTCATGTTCATACTCCTCCTTGACTTGCCACCTTATCATAGTGTAGAAGTTTGTGTGCTTGAATGATCCTAGGAGCTATGCTGTTTGGGGCAATTGTAATTGCCCCAGGTAGGGTCCCCAAGGAAGACTGGTCATAGGTGACAGGCCAGACAAAGAGTGATTCCAAAGACTCAAATGGACAGCAAGCAGCAAGGAGGTCACTGTCCCTTCACCGTACGTGGGTTATCGGAGCCCCACCGTAGAGTGAGGCTTGGGGGAGGGACTTGTCTGCGAGCCCCTGCTGACTGGGTCTCTACCAATGGGGCACAATCGAGTTCAGCCCAAACGAGCAACATGAGTTTGTCTTCCTGTGGGCCCACCACCTGCAGGAAGGGCCATGTCACAGGATCAACGTTTCTCTGCTTGTAGATTTATCTTTACACTTGAATTGGTAATGACAGATTGAACCAAAGGCTGTCTTAAGTAACAAATTTGGTTCATGTGCTACAGTACTGTTTTCTTAATGGTAAATATATATATATATATATATACTTTGTATATATTCTCAATTATATATACTTTTTTTATTTATTTATTTACCAGTTTTATTTTATATTTGCAACACATTAATCTCCACTAGAGAAATTCATCCACTGCATTTTTTTTCCTTCACAAATTTAGAGCAGAGGGCTGATATCTAAGACACCTTGGGGAGCAGCTAAGGAGGAAAGGGTCTTGGCCAAGGGCCCATAGTAGGTCAAATGAGGGTGGAATCAGATATGGGTGAGTCACCATTTCCACCCACCTTTTTGACATAATGAACAAAGGATTCAAGCTGGTGATCTCCAGTTTACAAGTTTGCCTTAAGTAACCTCTTCACCATCACTTCCCTAAGGAGACATTGGCAACCATTTCTGAAGAATTATGTTTGTAAGGTTTTAACAGCATGACAGCTCAGTAGTTAGCACTGTTGCTTCACTGTAAGAAGGTCCTGGGTTCAGTCTCTGGTTGGACCTGGAGTCTTTCTGTGTGGAGTTTGCATGTTCTTCTCGTACTTGTGTGGGTTTTCTCTGGGTACTCCATTTTCCTCCCACATATCAAAAACATGCATGTTAGGCTGCCTTCAGAGCCAGGCCTCCCTTGCAAAAGGAATATTTGATCTCAATGGGATTTGCCTGGTTAAATAAAGGTTAATAAGTCCATAGATCCAGACATATTTTAACATAGTATACTATGCTTGTGAAGCTTTAATTTATACAGATTTGGTAAACAAAACTAGACAAACAAGAATTTAGCCAACATTTGGTTTGTTCTGAACTTTAAATCAATTAGAACGTCCACTTTAATTTTCATTAGAATAAAATCAAAAACATCAATTACTCTAAAGGGTTAAGATACAAATTTGCACCACATGAGGTAAGATCGGTCTTTGTTTTTGTTTTTTGTTGTTTTTGTTTTTTTGTAGTAGTAGTAGTAGTAGTAGTAGTAGTAGTAGTAGTAGTAGTAGT